GAAAAAAAATATCAGACAAATCTCAACTGAGGGACATTCTACAAAATACCTGAACACTACTCCCCAAAGCTGCCAAGCTCTTAAAAACAAAGAAAGTCTTAGAAACCATCACAGCCAAGAGGAGTCTAAGCAGATATCATGACTAAATGTAATGCACTGGTCTTGGATGGGATGTTGGAACAGAAAAGGGACATTAGGTAAAAATTAAGGAAATCTGAATAAAGTACAGACTTTAGTTAATAATAATGTAGCAATACAGGTTCACTAGATGTACCAAACTCATAAGATGTTAATAATAAGGGAAAAAAATAATAAGGGAACAGTTTTGCATACATAGGAATGGTGTGTACTATCTCTGCAAATTTTCTATAAATCTAAAACTATTCTAAAATTGTCTTTAAAAAAAAACTTTCTCACAAAGGGTTTATCCCATGAATATAAGATTGCTTTAATTAATTTAACATAACTCACCATGTTAACCAACTAAAAGAAAAAACATATTATCAATTCCATAGATGCCAAAAAAATTCATTCCTGATAAAAACTCTCAGCAAACTATGACTGGAAGGGAATTCAATCTGATAGAAGGCATCTATGAAAAACCTACAGCTAACATCATACTTAATTATGAGATACTGAACGCTACCCTTCTCACATCAAGAACAAGGCAAGCAGGTCCGCACCAACTATTCTATTCAACATTATACTGGAGGTTCTAGCAGGTACAAAAAGGCAAGAAAAACAAATAAAAGGCATCTTAACATCCAGTAAATCTTTATTTGTAGATGACATGATCATCTATATGGAAAAACTACAGGATCTACAAAAAAGCTGCTGAAACTAATAAGTGACTTTAGCAACATGGCAGGACACAAGATGAATATATAAAAACCAACTGTATGTCTATACAAAGCAATAAAAAATTGGTCACTGAAATGTTATAAAAATAATGTTTAAAGTCATGAAAAATATGAAGTATTGAGAGACTGACTTAAAAATGTATAAGACTTATCTGCTGAAAACAGCAAAACATGGCAGAGAGAAATTAAGAAAACTGAAGTGGAAAATAGACTATGTTCAAGACTGGAAAACTCCATATTGTTAAGCTGTAAATCCCCACTGAATTGATTTATAGATTCAACCTCAACCAAATCAAAATCTGAGCGTGATTTCTTTTATAGAAATTGAAAAGCTAATCCTAAAATTCACATAGAAAAGCTACTAGAACAGCCCAAACAAAGAGCTTTGAAAAAGACCAACGTTAGAGGACTAACACCACCCAACTTGAAGACTTATGATGAAGCTAGAGTAACCAACAATAAAAAGCTGAATGACAATGGAAATGTAATGATAGTACACTGTGTGATACAGCTGTGAATATTATTTTAATGCTCTTAACATTGTAAATATTGATATAGGATATAAAAATGGAAGTTACCGCTGAGGCTTCAGAACTGTTAAAAAACAAAAATGGACGTACAGGAGACTGCCATGTAGAAATTACAAACACAAAGACCAAATTAGAAGAGATAGGAAACTAGTTTTCACAACTCTTCATCCCAACCTTATCTATGCTATAGATGGGTCAGGAGATGGAGATCAGAAAGGGTTTTTAGAGAAATTTCTGGAGAGCCTGAAAGAGGGGGGTGTGTTTACATTCTTCCTATTTCACATCAAGTCAAGGGAGACATTTAAAAAGACCCGTAAGAGGCGCACCTGGGTGGCTCAGACATTAAGTGTCTGCCTTCGGCTCAGGTCATGATCCCAGGGTCCTGGGATCGAGTCCTGCATCGGGCTCTCAGCTCCGCAGGAAGCCGGCTTCTCCCTCTCCCACTCCCCCTGCTTGTGTTCCTTCTCTCTCTGTGTCTTTCTCTGTCAAATAAATAAATAGAATCTTAAAAAAATAATAAAAATGGGGCACCTGGGTGGCTCAGATGGTTAAGTGTCTGCCTTCAGCTCAGGTCATGATCCCAGGGTCCTGGGATCGAGCCCCGCATCAGGCTCCTGGCTCAGCGAGGAGCCTGTTTCTCCCTCTCCCTCTGCCTCTCTCCCTGTTCATGCTTTCTCTCTCTCTCTCTGTATCTCTGTGTCTCAAATGAATTAAAAAAAAAAAAAAAACACTAAAAAAAAAATAATAAAAATAAAAAGACCCATAAGAGAGCTTGAAATATGTTCCCTGGAGTTTTAAGAACAGAAGTGGTAGATGGAAAAAGAGAGGAGAAGCCAATTACAATCCCTTTGCTGACACCAATCTTTGCCCTACAATAGGCCAGAGCTTGAGGGGGAGCCCAACTTCAAATCAAGATCCTGCATCCATGCACTCAAGCGAGAGGAGGACTTATGTTACCCAAGAAGAGCCAGATAAGTCACGGGGCTGCCCATGTCTTCACCAAGAAGTAGAGGCAACGACATTTAACATAACAGCGTGGGTTGGGGAGTTGTGCATGGTCAAAGTGATGGTGACATGATGAAAACAGTGATTATGAGTAACTTGGAAGGAGGAAAGAGGAGGTGAGGAGAGAAGTTCATGGGAGGCTAAGGACAGGGAGTGCAGTCTTCATCTGCCATATCAGGAAACCACAGATCTTATCCCAAACCAAAAAATCAAGAACTAGCAATAGAAGCATATCATTTAGAACAACGGAGCTACATACCAAACAAAGAGCTGAAAGTGGGTTCTTCTGAGAGCAGGAAATGAAGATGAGGAGAGGGGAGAAAGGGAGACAGCTGCTTTTTATTAAAGGCCTGGTAGCACCACTTTCTTTTTAGAACTATATACACATATTAGTCCCATCATTTTTATTTTTTAATTGAAAAAGAAATCTTAAAGGATAGCAACAGTGTTGGAAGAAAATCCCATGGACCGGTATGTTATGAAGAGGTGGTTTGAAATCCATGGGCAAATAAGTGAACTTCGACTTCAGTCTCGTACAAAAATTAACTCAGAGTGGATCATGGACTGAAATGTAAACGTGTACAACTCTGGGGAAAAAGCACAGGAGAACTTGTTCAGTCAGAGAAAGCTCAGACTTTACGCCAAAAGCACGATCTTAAAAGGAAGAAATGAGAAATGACTTCACCACAATTAAAAACTTTTGATCTGCCAAAAACCCTGTTAGAAGAATAAAAAGAAGCTAGAAAGTGAAAGAAAATATTTACAAACCACATATTCATCAAAGAACTTATATTCAGAATATATAAAGAACTCTAAAATCGCAACAATAGGGGCCCCTGGCTGGCTCAGTTAGAAGAGCATCCAACTCTTGATCTCGGGGTCGTGAGTTTAAGCCCCACGTTGGGTGCAGAGATCATTTAAATAAATAAAACTTAAAAAAAAAAACACACACAGGCGCCTGGGTGGCTCAGTCATTAAGCGTCTGCCTTCGGCTCAGGTCATGATCCCAGGGTCCTGGGATCGAGTCCCACATCGGGCTCCTTGCTCCGCGGGAAGCCTGCTTCTCCCTCTCCCGCTCCCCCTGCTTGTGTTCCCTCTCAGGCTGTGAAATAAATAAATTTATTTATCTGTCAAATAAATAAATAAATTCTTAAAAAAAAAAAAACAACAACACACACAACGGAACAATAAACTGGGGAAAAAACTTATTAACATCCCCATACGTAAAGAATGTGTATGAGTCAATAAGGCAAAGTAAACAACCTAAAGGAAAAAGAATAAATTAACACTAACACACAGTTCAGACCTAAGAAAATACAAATGGCAAACTAAACTACAGGGTGGGGGACAAGTTCAGCTTCACTAGTTATCACAGAAAGGCAAATTAAGATTGAATACTCTTTTTTACCCATGAATGCTTGGCAAAAATGGAAGTCAAAAGACCCGGGCATGGGGAAACAGGCACTACTACATCAAGAGTAGTGTGCCCGTTTGGGAAGGTCATTTGGCAATAGCTACTATCATTTAACATTTGCATTCACTCTAACTTAGCAATTTCACTTCCAAGGAAAACTTGCCCATCAGCACATAGAAGCAGATACAGTGTATTGCTTTTAGCAAACAACTGGAAACAACCTTAGCGTCCATTAATAGGGAAATGGTATAAATAATGGAAAGCTATGAAGCCATTAAAAAATAGGGGGATAGGGCGCCTGGGTGGCTCAGTCGGTTGAGCGACTGCCTTCGGCTCAGGTCATGATCCCAGGGTCCTGGGATCGAGCCCCACATCGGGCTCCCTGCTCCGCAGGAAGCCTGCTTCTCCCTCTCCCACTCCCCCTGCTTGTGTTCCCTCTCTCGCCGTGTCTCTCTCTGTCAAATAAATAAATAAAATCTTAAAAAAAAAAAATAGGGGGATAGAGATTGATCTATATGCATGACATGGGAATAACTCCAAGAGAAAGCAAGCTGCAGAACAATACACCTGGTATGATCTTGTATTTGAAAAACAGAAAATAATCTAAAACCATGTGTATATAGTGTAGACACGGTTAAATTGTTAACCGTGGCTACATCCAGGGAAGGGACGGGGACGGAGCAGGTGACCACGAGAAACTACAGCATGACTTATACCGATTGAATGTTGTTTTTCTCCGTCGGATCATTTTATCCGAGAACATATCTGTGTCATGCATCTAACGAGAAAATAATGATGCAGCATTTAAGACGGTGCCTAGCATCCAGCAGGTGCTCAACAAATGCTCGTTCAAACTTTTTTTAAAAAAAAAAATAGTGAAATATCTTGAAAGAGTTCAAAATGTAAATACAGAGGACCACGAAGCTCTCTGGTGCCCTGGCCAGGGTTTTAACATATCAGAAGGCAGTAAGTGGTGGAATTCTTCCTGGTGCCGGTTTTTGAAACTTGACTTTTGAAACTTGACGTAAGTATCCAAAACCAGGAAGCAGGAAAAGGAGCATTCCTGAGAGGAAAGGGGGGTGGGATTCACCAAACAACTAAAGAAAAAAATTCAGGGTCTCACACCAAATGCAGCAGTAAGCAAAGGCCTCCCTCCAGAGCACACCTAGCCACACAGAACGGTCATCTTACCTGTTGTCTTTGCTGACGAGGTGGTGGACACCCCATTGAGCTCACTAGGACTCCTTTTGATGGGCCGTGGCTTATACTCTCGTCTGGGGACACTGGATGCAGCTGATATTCTGAAAAACACATTTTAAGATCAGTCAGACATCAGATGAAGAAAGCCATGCTTCCAAATGTACGTTTGCACTGCTTGGGGAGCCTACGAACTTGGGGGAGAGGTGGTGGTTGTGAAGGGGGTAATTTTTACGCATTGGTTCGTGAGTAGCCCAAAGTGGTGGGGGTGATATCCGGTGACTACCGGCGTAGTTTTTCGCTATATATTTGAAAGTGTGGGTCTCTCACAGAGTCTCTGAGGCCCCTGTCAGGTGCCAGGTTATACTGGGCACCCAGCAACGTTAGCTGCCTTTTCTCCCCTTCTGCTTATGCAGAGACAGAAATACACAAACGTGATTGTGTGAGCACTGCATGCATGCCCCCCCGCAAAGAAGTGGATGCTTCAGAGACCGGCCACACCTGAGAAATCTGCCATTGATTTAAGCAAACATCCCTCCAAACGTATTCACTATCATCATCCCATGTAAAACAATATTCGGTTACCAAACCTGGTCAAGAATGGGGTAGGTTTTTTTAACCCACTATATTAATTAATAGGGTCACTGGGCCTACTACGTGTGATATTACTAATTTTCAGAGAAATACAGAATACATCATCATTAAAACCTAAGGGGAACGGCCATCTTCCTTTGACCGTTCAGAAGGTATTTTTGACTCTTTCAGTACCTCTCTGAGTCAGTATTACGAACGTGGCCTATCTGCCTGGATATTTACATACTTTCCAGATATTTACATACTTTCTGCGTATCATCTCACACTTCTCCACATCCCTACACGTTGGCAAGGAGGTACATGCCATCGCCGCCCCGGCTTAAGCCCTCAAATCAGCAAGGAAGCCGGGACAGCTCTGTCGGGTGAGCAGCTCTGTCAGGTTGCCCTGAACACAGGTCACGGAAAAGGGCTTTCGTGAAACACAAAAGGAAAAAAGCCGCCAGACTGCTTTTCCCAGCTCTGTCCCTTTGGCCAGAGCCACGTACTTATTACTTCAGTGCTATCCCACACCCAACCATGAAAGCCAGCTAAGAAAATTCAAAACAGAATGGGGCGGCGGGAAGGGGCAGACGGAGGGACTGATTCAGATGGAGTCTACTCGGCAGCCCCGGGTTGGCAGGGCACGTGAAGGCTCTTACCGCATCTGCAGATTGCTCTGTAACTCCTGCAGGATCTCCGTGGACTGTTTGTGATAGTCTAAAGCTGCCTCTATGAACACGGCCAACTGGCTGACTTGTTCTACCTGCAGCAAAAGTGGGAAATTATGCCAAGGCCTATGTAATGTTCAGAGAGAGAGAGAGGCGGGACCAGCAACAAAGACCCAGCTTCGCAGGGAAGCCCCGCGTCGTCCTCGGCTCTGGTCCATTTCATTTCCTTAGGCTGCGTCATCATCACACGGGTGGTGGTAGAAAGCTGTATATTCTGGAAAACCATGTTCAAATTTATTTGTGATTAAAATTTGGTTTAGCTCAATGGAAGCTGGTTTTCCCAATCAGATGACACCCTCAAGAGATTTTTGTGCTCTAAAGCTCACGGATCTGAACACAGAGACATAAAGCTTTCCAATGACATGGGAAGCCAACACTGAGTAAATGAACCTCTTCCTTAGTGAAATGTCTCTTCGGGCATCTTCTAGCTAAGTCAAATCAGGAAGCTAAGTAAATTAAGCTGTTCTCACATAAGAAAGGAAACCAGGGGAGGGTGGGCACCAGGGCAAACACTTGCCAGCTCCCTGTGTCTCATTGCTGTCTGCACAAAATCGTGGCCATGAAACGTGACAGCCGAAAGGAATGAACTCTACAGCCTCTTGTATCTCTCGGTCCCCCGAATCGATGGAAAAACTAAAGTAGAAAAGCTCTATCACATAAGAAAGGCTGGAAGACCAGGGGATGCATGGATTGAGGAAGAGGCGTCCCCTGTGGGAGCTTCCCCGCTTCCCCCATGCGTCTGAACAGCTGCTCCAGAAAAGCGGGATTCATGACGCTGATGTTGGCAAGCCTCGGACGCAGGACCTCTGGGTTGAGGTGATAAGGACCCCCAGCAAGAGCCCCATGACCTCCAGATCCGGAGAAGGTCACAAACCAAAATCAATCCCCCCTCTTCCAAAGCTTCCCCAAAGCCTATGCATCATTCCCACGTGCTAAGCAGCTTGAGGGCAGAGTCTGCCCTGCTTATTCACCCCGTAAAACCAACCACGGACTGGTCCACCTTCAAAGACCCAAGCTGCTTCCATCTGTTGCTACAGACCCTGCTTCGGCTGCCCTACACTCGCTTTCCTTGTGCACACATCAACACGGCCCAGTACACACCTGAGAAACCCACAGCATCCCACTGGTGCCCCGCTGTGCTCCGCATCCGAACAAGGAAATCCCGTTGTGTTACAGTCACTTTGCCGCGCTTGGGGCTGGAAGAGCACCAAGCCTAGCCTTAAATTTCCCAAAACCCAATGAACAAAACAAAGACAGCCTGGCCACACAGAAATCCTAAGGATTTCTTAAATTTCACTTCTCTGGCTTTCACGTTTAAACAAGTCCAGTTTAACGGCCCAACTTGACCACAGCAGAATCTGCCGAAGCAGGAACCGTGCTCCCCAGCTGGGGGGAGCGGCGGGTCGGGTCCGATCTGAGCCACACCTCACTGCCTTCAGTAAAGTTAACTGCTATTTTAATCCCCACTTTGAGATATGTTTGACATTTCTCTTTTCAAAGGAGCAGTGAAAAAAGGAGTATTCCTGGAAACATACGGGGGACGGGGAGGGAGGGAGAGAGGGAAAGATCACCAGAGCTCCTGTCTGGTTGGCTCAGACAAGTTATGTAACCTAGAGATGCATCTGTCACTATTCGTTCGGTGGCTGACTTTGGGAAGGAACTGAGTCCCAAGGCCCCTTGGGAGAGAACAGTGGTGCTGCATGGTGCTCAATGCAACCACTGGAGAGACGGTGCTGCAAAGTTCCTGCTGGCCGGGAAGCCACGTGGTGCCACAAGGGGCTTCCGTGCCTCCCCGTGCCAGAAAACGGAGGCTTCCGCTTATCCCCGGGCCATAAGCAGCAAGGTGCGTGCGGGTGGTCTCTGCTTCCCAAACCCCAGGTAGGATTCAACACCTGGACAGGCAGAACCAAGGCAGCGATAAAGCCAGGCCTTGCAAGTACCTGTCCGGAAGGTAAAGCGTTTCTTCCACTGGCCACACCACTCAATGTGGCAAATCCACCTGTTGACTCGGGGAAGGTCACCTGGGATGAGAAGACAGGTGTAACTCTACTTAGGGCCGAGAACAACACTGCCCCTCTCTGGTGCCACCTTGGGAGTGAAGTGTGACCACACATCACATACACAGAGCTCCCGGCTCAGAGTAAAGTGCACTCGCCGTCATGGTGGGTCACTCCTGGCCAGGTGCCTGAAGCAAGAAACTCAGACTTCCCAGTAAGCTAGAGGAGAAGGAGGGAGGGTCCAGGTATGGGCCATGGTGCTGGCAGATGGTGGGGCGAGGACTAGGAAGCTACCCGGGGCAAAGGAACCAGAAAGAGCTTGTGGTGGAGAGGAAAATGGCCCCCAAAGATGCCCAAGCCCATCTCCCCAAATCTGTGACTATGTCACCTTCCCGGGCAAAAGAGACTCTGTGGGTATGATTGAGTTAAGGGTCTTGAACTAGAGGATGACCTGGGTTATCTGGGTGGCCCAGTGTCATCATAGGTTCCTAGAAGAGGGAGGCAGGAGGGTCAGAGTCAAAGAAGGAGGTACATCGGCGGGGCAGAGTAAGAGGGATGAAGATGCCTCATGCGGGCTTCACGGCCGACGCCACCCCACTCCGCGAGTCCTCGCTCCCTCCCCTGGGGCAAGACTCAGTGTGTCTCCAGGGTGTCGCCCGTGGGCACACTCTCCTTCAAAACCCTCTCGTTCGCTGCAAACCAATGGCTGATTATAAGCACATGAGGCCGTTGGGGGTACTGAGCCCTGGGGATGGAGGCAGAGCACCCACGTCCCCATACTACTGTGGACTACGAATACAAGAAGTCCCCGGGCTGTGGCCCCAGGGACACTTGAATTGGACCTGAGCCACTGGGGTGACCTGCAGACCAAGTGCAAAGGATCTGGGCTGAACCCAAAGGAAGGACAGCTCCAAGGACTGCATCCTGTAGTAAGATCAGCCCTCTGCAGAAGGTTATAGAAACAGTGGCCAAGTAGGAGCAGGGCTGTGAACTCTCCTCCTCAGACCCTTCAGCGACTAGTTACCACAGGACCGGTTAGCGGCCAGGTAAGTGGGCGGAGAGGCACACCCTGAAGACCACGGCACGAGGAGGGATGAGAGGGATGTCAGTAGGTAACGCCCTGCACCCAGATGCCTGGAATCTGCAGCGAGCCTGGCATGCAAGAACGAGGAAATGCACCTCTTCTGGAAGGCGACAAGCCATCCCCTTTCACAACTGAAAACGGCGTATTTCCAACGGAGAGAGCATCTTCGATCTGACTTGTGGTTATCCAAGTGATCTCTTGCTCCGTCATATCAAAGACGTCCACTCCTTCTGGACTCCCCGCAGAAGCTAGGAGTCTGATCTTAAATAGACGCCTTTGCTAACAGGGCGAGGGCTTTACTCAGAGTTTCTGAGAAAGTCTGAGCAAGGCAAGGAACTCAGTAGCCTAGATAACAGCCCCTTATGCTTCCATTCTCCACTCCACTTTCCCAAAGGGTTTCCTGACATGTGTAGGTCAAGTTGACTTTCCAGGGGCAAAGAGCTGAGCAGAAGTGAAACCAGAATCAGATTTCAGGTGGTTTGCTCCTTGTTGGGTGCACCTTCCTTCCGCGAGCCCAGTTTTTCCTAATGTACCTTGTGCCACGTGTCACCAGTCCCTTGAAATGACAGCAATAATGATGATGCGGAAGGTCAAACAGGTTTGAGAAACTCCCCGGTGTGCCCTGCCTTAGGAATCTCTCCAAGACCAACTTTTCACATTGTCATATAAAGACTCTGAAAAGTCTTGGGATCAAGAAAACCTGCCTAGTTTTGTCCACGTGAGGGTTTGCCAAACTCATTTGAGTGTAGAAACATTATTAGTGCAACCTACTACAGCCCGTGGAATGAATTTAGGAAAATGCCACCCCGGACCAAAGGAAAGAACCCAGGAATCTGCAATCCGGTAACCCCACTTGTTGCAGGAGCCCACGGATGGAGGGAGGATCCCCAGGCAGGAGACGTGGACCAAGAGAGCTAGAGACAAGTGCAGGTGTCTGGCCTCATGGGCCTGGAATGGGGATATTCTAGGTGCTCTCTCTGGCTCCTGCAAAGTCAAAGACCTACATTCCATGATGTCACGGGGTGAGGAATAGACTTCTCTGCAAAGACAGAAGAAGAGTGTTCACAGGCCATTCCCAAGAAATGGTGAAGGCGGGCAACCAACCTGCTCAATTTCCCGCACCCCTACCTCAGAGCAAATTGTGATGGGCACAGGGACCCCTCTCCTAGGGGGAGCCCCGCCAGGCCTAACCCTCGGGGCTCCCGGGAAAGCTGGTGGACCAAAACACCTCCGGGCTTGCATCTGTGCACGGAATAATGAGCAACAGGTGAAGAGATGCCCAAGGTCTCCAATCCAGCCCCGACTGACAAGACAACTGAGGATTCCAGTGTGGGGCCAAAGGAGACTTCTCTTTGGTTCTCCCACTCACAACTCTGCCAAACTCAGACAGGAAAATAAACGCCAGTTTCCTTGGGAATGTCGGAGTGACCGATTCGGGTCCCTCACACCACCCCTTCCTTCTTTCCACATCACAAGTGCAGGGGTGCTCTGTCTGACCGAGGAAGTCAGGGGCCCCCGACAACCAGGGTGTCTGCACCCAGCACTGAATAGGCGGTAAGTGGAGTCTGACTCTGAGGTCTGGATTCTTTAAGAATGTGGGTTCGCCAAGATCTGCCTTTCTGCTCTGCCCGCCTCACTCCCCCTGTGGGTCCCAAGGTCTAGACTTCAGTCCCGGGGTAGGTAGCTAGAGTCCCATTGTGGGCCCAGGCCCAAGCTGCCCACACGGATTTCCAGAAAGTCCCATCCTCTGGGCAAGGGGCCGGTATGTGACCCTTGTTCGGCTGTCCCTGTTTGTTTCTCAGTTGGGAGTATTCAGATGTGAGGACAGATGAGCAACCACCCCCTGGAAAGCCCCACAAATGGCCCATTGGCCAGAAAATCCTAGACAAGGGTTACATAATCTGCATTTGGAGATTCCAGAAAAACCAACTCTGTGCGTCCCAGTCGGGGCTCTCCTCAAACCAGGCAGATCTCTGGCGTTATCTGGCGAAGCTTTCCTTGTGTCTTAGCCGCAGCTACAAGATATGAGGGCTGGACAAGACACCCACCCCCCTGTTCCCTGGAGAGTGAGACTCTGGGGTTCGAACCGTCAGTGCCAGGCAGAGATGGGCGGATGGCACCAGGCCCCGGACACGCCACCCCCCCCTTCATTCACGCCGCTCTGCTTATCTACCTCCTCCAGCCCCTCTTCACTCCTGCCGGGGAGGAGATCAGGGAATGTTCCCTAATTAGCAGGATGGCTTATTCTGCCCCCAAAGCCAGCTCTGCATGACCAGAGGCCCCATGTCTCAGAGTGTGTCTGATAGCCAAGCAGGGTGGCTTTCGTCAGCTGAGGACAGAAGGACGGAAGTCCTAGCTGGACATGCGTAGGTCCATGTCATCCCCTCCAGCACCACTGCCCAGGAGGCCCGTAGGGTATAATTACTGGGTGTTCTCATCAGTGAAAAGGGCGGCCCCTTGGTTCCAATCTGGCGTCTGTGTCCGTTCCTCACCTAGAACGCAAAGGGGTGGCCAGCTCTGACTGACGGCCCCAAACCTCTAGCTCACGATGGTACCAACATCTCCCACCTGTGTCTGGAGGAGGCGCCAGGCCCTTGGCTGTCTGCCACCACGTCCCTGGGGAACAGGCACGCACCTGGGCGGTGGCAAGTGCCACGTCGGGCGCAAGCGCCGTCCAAGCCCCTGGACAAAGGCGGGGCCTGCAGACCCACCGTGTTTACCTGGGAATTAAGACCCCAGCCATCTTTAGTGGCAGGATCGGTTCCTGGAAGAAACCCCAGCCGTCCTGAAGCATCGCTCCTCCTCCTGAGCCTCCTCACCGAGAAAGACAGCAGCCACAGATAGAAGGGGCCGAGCGGCAAAGGTTGGACAGGAGCTGGTGACCCACAGAGAGCAGGAAGTCAGGGTTCTGTGGGCTGCAGGGCCCTGGGGCTGGCCTGGGTGTAGAGAAGGGCAAGGGCAGGGCTGAGAGCTCCGTGAATGTGTCCTCCCCCCACGCACCGCTTCTTTGTCTTCCCCACCAGTCACCTGCCGCTGATCCCCAAACACCAACCACCTCCGCATCCGCCTGTCAGGTCCGAGGGCTGAAGTGGAGAAGATTTTCTAGACCGTGCCTCATCCACAGGACCGCCAGACCGCCCGGGCCTGGCCCAGACACACCGACACGGAAAAGGTCAAGACGGTGCCCTTCTGGGTCTGATTGCCGCTGCCCCAAGAACAGAAGGAAGGCAGCCTTCTGGAGCCTACACGGCAACTTGTGAGCGTCCTCGACTATAAGCCCAGGAAGGGGAAGCGGTGAAAGCAGGCATGCCATGCTTGAGGGGCCACCCCTGCACCCCTCAGGCTCCAGCACGAGTCACTCAGCACACGGCCCCTTGTCACTGTCACCATCGTCCTTGTCATCACCACCAACCGCTTCGGCACTGCTATGGCCATGCCCGCAGGACTCAGCAGGCAGAGTACCCGGTGAGCCCCGCGGTTAAAGACGGCACAAGGAGACGAGACCAGAGAAAGGGAAGCAGCCTCGTTCCAAGGCGGCTCCGAAGTCCTTAGCTGTCTTCTGATCTCGGTCTCCTCCCACCTGCGTGGCTGGTTTCCAGGGGCTTTTGTCAGAGGCCAGAAGCAACAGGCCATCCCTGAAACGAGCCAGCACCGCCTGTCGGACCTGAGGGAGCAGCTCAGGCTCCCCAGAGGTGAACGGGGGTACCCTCCACCCCAGGACACCTCAGGGGACGCACTGCAGTTCCCCTGCAGGGCTGGAGTTAAGACCTAGCTCTGACTCGTGCCGGGGCGGGGTGGGAGGCAGTCCACTCATTTGCGAATACGGTCACTGTCAGCCAAGGGACCAGTGACCGAGTTTCCGTACGGAAGGGATCATTCCTGACTTCTGCTTGACCTTGAAGGGAAAACAGGTCAACTGGGGGAACTGGCAGAGACAGAGAAACCGAAGGAGACCCCTAATGGAGGGCTTTGCAAAAAGCCCATCATCATCGTGCTTCGTGAATGAAAAAGCACGCGGGGCAGGCGGGCCGTGAGACACACGAGATTCAACCTCAGAGTTTAAATCCACCACTACCAGGCACAGGACCGGAAGGACGACGTCTGCCACGGCCTGGTAAGGATCAGACGCATCCAATACGTCACACTCCAAAACCACGTGCTGAATACTTCAAAAGATCAAATACGGCAATCGGAGACGAAACAAAACCAAAATTGCCGATGGCTTCGGGACAATTTCAAGAGAAAAGTGATATTTTTAAGGGAAAATAAACAAACAAGAAAAACAGAGCCAATGGTTACACCTCTTCCCATTTCCCATAAGGTGTAAAAAACCTGATAAACTATTAAAAGGAGAAGCATAATAGAGTGTACTTCTCAGCACTCAGGTTTCGTGGACGTGGGGATTTTCAAATTGTTTTCTCCAGGATCAATGTCTTGTCAACACTGAACGTAATTCCCCAACACGTCACCACGGCAAAGAAAGGCTGCTCAGTACGTTTTGTTTGACTTAACTCGAAAATGCGAGACCTTGATACACCTTTTAATGAACTATTGGAAGTAGAACATGGTTTTGCAGATAAATAAATCCTCCACCTTGTCTCCACAGGTTTGAAAGTTCAACAAAGAGGGTCCAAAACTAAGCCTGGACCAAAATGGCACAGGACACTGCCAAGGCCAAGTTTAGGACAGGGACGCCGGAGACAAGCAGGTGGCAGAAGGCTCTTCCAATCGGGCAGCAACAAACACAAAAGGCCTCATCACCGAGGCAAAGGAGGGAAGCCTTCAGCCTTCAGGATGCGCAGGACGGGGTGACCATGCCTCTTCAGTATGCTGAATCTAGCTTCCCTTGGACAAATCAAACATAAGCTGGCAGGAATCAGAGTATGACAGAATATTTTGCATTTCTGAGGGATCTGTGTCGAGACCTTCACGATCCCCGAGCTCACAAGCACCGCCACTCAGGTACAGCTGAACAGTGTAGATCATGCTCTGATATCCTGAACGTTCACGATGACAAGAAAGGCATCAGAGAGCTGCTCCTCCTCAAGCATCTGCCTCACACGGTGCTTCTCTCAGTCTTAGCAAAACTGCAGTGACCACACGATATGGGATTTCCATTCTCCTGCAGAACCACCACGCAACGGCCTCAAATACGAAAGCCGGTCCGCTATCTAACTCCCCAAACGACCCCCCTCCCCGGGGCCACCTGGAGCACAGCTCGGGAGCAATCCTGGGATGAACAGGACTTCTCGAGATCTGAGGTTTGAGCTGGGGCTTGCCAAATGTCCGGAGCTATTTCTGAGGCAGGAGATAGATAATGGCTACAGAAAATTCTGGAAGCTTTTGTAAACTAAGGCTCCGGAGCTTCTCCTCATGTTGGTCCTAATCATATATTCAATGTTTTTAATCACATTAAAGTCTCCTGTTTGGTTTAAATACTTACATCATTTTCTAAAAAATTAAACATGCTTCTTTCAGCCAACTCCTTTGACTCTTCAAATTTTTCTACCGCTTGTCTGACTTCTTCATCTGGTATCTTACCTACTCGCTTCTTTTTATAATCATAATCCAGGCGGCGGCCTTCCAGCTTTTTCAGGTGGTGCTAAACAAGACAAAGGAGTCCTTCAGAGAACTGCACACTCAAAACACGGGGCAAAGAAACCTCTGTTGTTTCCATGAAAATAGCCATTGCTTTTTGTCCGTCTACATTCTAGGGGCAAGGACACATCTTACATGTCTGTGGGTCCTCAGCATCCACTTAAGGCCACCTTTACTGCAGACCCTCAAGGAATATTTTTGGGTGGATGGATGGACGGATGGATGGGAGGGTGAGTGGATAGATGGGTGGGTGGATGGATGGACGGGTGGCTGGGTGGGCAGATGGCTGGATGGATGGGTGGGCGGATGGGCAGGTGGGTGGGTAGGCAGATGGATGGATGGATGGTTGGGCGGGCTGATGGATGGGTGGGTGTGTGGGCAGCTGGGTGAATGGGTGGTTGATTGGGTGGGTGGATGGGTGGGCAGCTGGGCGGATGGAAGATGGGTGGATGGGTGGGTGGATGGATGGTTGATTGGATTGGTAGATGTGTGGGTAGATGGATGGCAGAGTGAATGAGTATCTACATGGAACATGAGGACACAGCATCAGCACTCAGATTCCATTTCCCAAAGTTCTTTACAGGACCCCTCACTTAAGCTCTATTAATGTCCAGATAATTTCCAACTAAATTAACTAAATTAACTAAAAAATAAGCACATTTCCTTTGGCACTGTCAAGTCCTAAGAGCTAGATTATAAAAGCAGAAATTTCTAGTAGCCCCTAGAATACTTACGCATATCCCATAAAGTTCCCAATTATAGAACACGTTCAATAAATGCCATCGATGAATATGTATACACAGAGGACAAACATTTACAACCTCTGAAAGGTGAGATTTCTTTAAAAAAAAATAGGATCTCTTTAACAAAATGTAACAATTGTAAATATTCGATCTGTCCATTCATGGAATGGGCTGCCTCGTGTGGTAGTAAACTCCCCATCACAGTCTGTGTTCGAGCAGAGGGATCCCATGTCAGAAATGCTAGAGACAGCTCAGCTGTATGGGGCAAGGGAGAAGCCTGGAAGAGTTTACACTGCAATCTTTGGAAAACAGGTACCTGCTGTCGAATGTATCCACAAAACCAGACCATCCCACTGAAGTATGCAGGTAACGTTACTATGCATTTTAGTGAACAGCCCTGGTTCTACTTCCATAATGAACTGGCAAAAACAGCATACGGGCTAAAAAGCCAGAAGCATCTTTCCTGTATGTTCTGTGACTCTGGGCAAATCTGGCATTCCCTCTGGGCCTCCGTGTGTGGCTATAAAACGGGAGTGGAGAGGGCCAGCCTGGCTGCTTATGGGCCGAGAAATGTCTGGAATCCATTAACCCTTTACAGGTATAAGTCAGCTGGTCTTAAATGAGCAGGTTCTCCACTCCCGGCGTCTGAAACACAGAAACACAGTGGAGACTGTGAACGGCTTCTGAACACACTCTGAACTCTCGATCATCGCATGACTGACGTGGAGACTGAAGTGTAGCTTTACAGTGTTTCTGTATCGAACAGCAGCCGAGGAACGAGATGCCCCGTAGGATGTTATTTTGTTGCACAGGGAAGGCCGACACTGAAGTACAGTGTTCTGCACGTTTGTCTGGTCCACACTTGTCCACAGCCCGCTCTCAAGCCGTTCCGGGGGAAGAGCTGCGCTGCCCAGAGGACCCGGGGTTTTCCTCAAGGACAACAGCATAAGAAGAAACGGCGTATCATATATTTCAGCCAAGGGGGTCTCTGATTTGAAGGTTCTGCATTCGGGAAGGCTGTTTTGGTATCCCCAGGTCCCCCAGAATGTCCCTTCTTCCCCAGAGTCATCTGTTCTTTGATAATTTGCAAGCACAAACCCTGTCCTGGGCCTCGTGGTCCCAGAAGTGAACAAAGCAGGACTCCTCACCCCGAGGCACTTACTGCCCAACAACAGAGGAGTAGAAGCAGGGAGGCTCAAGGCACAGGGGAGCACAGGAGCACCTGATCAAACCGGGAGAGAACCAAGGCTTCCCCCAAAAAAGAGCATCTGAGATCTGAGAGGTGAGTGACTAAGCCAGGAGGGGAGGGGAGGGGGAGAAAGACAAGGAACACAGCAACTGCCCACAGCAAAACATCCCCCCGGGGGCTGCAAGTATTGCAGGGAGGCTGGGCAGCGCTGGGAAGGGGCCATGGGCCAGGCCCCAGAGGGAAGGAGAGGCCAGAGAATCAGGGCTAAGGTGGTGGATCTGTAAGCAGCCACCAGTGGGCGGCTCCAGAGGGTCTCCATCTAAGGCTGCGCTGGGCGTGGTGCGGAGAGTGCGCTGGAAGGGGCAAGGCGTGAAGCCGCGAGTCCAGGGCTGCTGTGCTCTAGCATCTAGATGTTAATGCAAGAAGCCAAGAGCTAGAAAGGGAAGAACGGAGATTCAGGAGAGAGGACAATGGCCATGGCCATGGCCTCCAGGGCCCAGTGGAGGCCTGGCTTCAGAGGGCAGGAGGGACACTGTTTCCCCGACATGGACGGGAAAGAGGACCCGGCGAGTGAGGGGTGAAAGGCATGCTAGGGGGCAGGGTTGCTGAATGTTCTGGGAGTCCCTGAATGGTTGCTTCTGGTTTTCATTCAACCTCCCTGAAGTCCCCTCCACACCCTCTGGTTTCCGTGCAGATTCTAATGCCCATACAGGCATCTAGGACTTTCTGTTCGGGAAATCTGGAAGACGGCTCAAGCATTTGCCTTTGTCACATGTGATGCTGATGCTGCTGGTCCAGGGGTCCCCCCACAAGAACTCTTGGGCCTGAAGAAAGGAAAGGGGACATCTCCCAGGTTCAAATGACTTCCAAGCTGGCCCGGGCTTGCATTCAGATCACTCTTGAAGGCGCCTGGAGGCAGGTCCTCAGAGCAGCTCCCTAAGAGCATCAGAAGTCAGCACAGGCTGCCCCTCCAGAGTAGAAGTCCTGGCGGGGTAGAACTCTCAAGTCTGTTTTTGCACATATACAAAAACACCATCTAGCAAGTGGCATGTGATCACCGACAGGTCCCTGAGAGCTCCCATGTGTGCTCTCCAAGGCCATTGCTAACAGTTTTCCAAATGTAAAATGTCAATTCCCAGATACTGATTTCCTTGAGGAGCAGTGAAAAATCATGACTACAGGTCTGGTGCAAAATATCAAGAGACAGGACCACTACGGTATGATTTTGATTATAAAAATTCTACGATGGAGTTATGGAGTCATTTTGTTAGGTGAGAAATGGCTGTGGAAATATGCATCTTTCATCTTGGCTTTCAGGTAGCTGGTTTCAATAAGATACAGAAGAAAGGGCTAAGAGGTTCTGGGTCTTTTTCCCAGTGAGCCAGGTAAATATGGATTATTCTTCGAGCACCCATAATAAGATGATGCTTTCACTGAATCCTTACAGAAGCATTCTAGTGATTTTAAATATAGACATCATTTTAAGGAGCAACGGGTAGATTTATAGCCTGGAAGACTTACCCCAATCTCTTTTAGATCTTTGTCTTGGAGTAACTGAAGTGGGTCAATAAAAGTTTGCTTTACGTTAATATCAAGAGAGTCTTTCACCTCAGCCATTAGCTTCATGGATTCCCCAACTTCTATCAATGCATTGCCTTGAATAGAAAATGCAAATAAAAAAAGTTTCTTTAGCAGAGTCCTCGAGGATAATGGTGGTATTTATTTATTTCCTTCCCAAAAGTTTGTGGATGGCGGTGCAAAAAGGTCCTCCCCCTGGGACTGGTGAATCCTGACTCAGAAAAAAAAAAAGAAGAAGAAAGAGAGAAAGAAAGTGTCCTTATGGTCCGTATTTTCCTCTACCCTCTGTACTCTCTCCACTATATAAAATAAAGGTTGGAGGCTGAGAGAGACCGAAGCATTTCCCACTTTGGCCACTAGATGGAGATAAAGCTCCTCTTTAAAAACTAGTACAGGTATCCCGGGCTTTTCGAAAGTTCACGCTGAACCCCAATCACCTTTACAAAAGACCTATATTAGTCCTTGGTCTTGCTAACTGAAAAAAATCCAAAGAGGATTGTTGCTTTCACTAAAAAAAAAAAAAAAAAAGGCAAGAAGAGAATAACATTCAGCCTTTGTTTTGCAGCAAGTTATTAGAGAGGCGATATGTACCCCAAGTCGTGAGAACAGCACACAGCACCCCAGCATCCAGCTGCCATGGCTTTGAGCTGTGTCTGTGAACATCTGTGCTCTGCCTCGATTTATTCTGTGCATGCACAAGCAGGACTAAGGTATGAGAAAAGCCTAGGAGAGGTTATTCTGGGGGTCTGGTAACACCCCCCAATTTTTCCACATAAATTAATAGTAATTTCTTCTTTGCTTTACACCATTTGGGTTTACAAAAGGCCTCGTAAGAATGCTCCACTTTCGGAGAGCAGGAAAATCTCCAGTTTTGTGAACTGGCACCTAGGGTTCCTTAGAAGTTCGAGAACAAAATCCTTCTTTGTAAACTATAAAAGGATTCATTCATCAGGGCTAAGTATCAACCAAGAAAGGTTACAATAGAAATAAATGAAAAAAACCTCCTGTCGGCTCCTAGCTACTAGATCTTGAGGTCACTCCCCATCTCCTTCAGATGGCTCTAAGGCTCCTGACCCTTTCTGATGTCAAAGAAAGCCTGGCAGGGTCACATGGGACAGCCTTTCAGCAGGATGGGCAAGGTTTGCTCCTGAAATGAGGCGCGGGCCAGCCACGCTCGGGCTTGGGCAGTGCTCGGCAGCTTTTGCTGGATTAAGCCCTGGTATCTCAGTGCCAGCTAATCCACAGGAATTTGCAAGCGGGAGTCCTGGTGGCTGAGCAGAATGAGGGTTGCAGTTTCTCTCGAAGAATCTCTGGGACGTGATGCACCAGACCAAACTATGTTTCCTGTATCGGAGTTTTCCAAATTGACCTCATAAACACGTAGAGCATGGCGTCTCTCAACTCTTAGGCTAGAAAAAGACCTTAAGAGGCAGCCCAAGAATCTGCATTTCTAGTAAATTCTGACCTTCAAGTTGTTGCACCTACTAGTCCAGCCATGCACAGTTTATTCACCTGCAAAAGAGCGACAGCAATGAAGACTCACCTCACTTTTTAAAAAATAAACTAGATAGTGCATGGTATAGGACCTTGCAAAATAGAAGTGGAAACTCTTACTCTAAACTATGGCTGGCCAGGACTCCATTTTGACCCACTGGTAGCTTCATTCCTCCTAAATGTCCTTAACTCACTCTCAAGAGTCTAAATCATTCCAAGATAAAGATGAGACATCCCTTCCCAGCCTGGGGACTCTTTCCTGCCCAACCGATCAGAAACGGAAGCTACTGTTTCTGACCCCTCTGCCACCAGGACCCACGCCCCGAAATGTCAAATTTGACTTTGACAGACACATTTCCAAATATTTCCCTGGAGACTCCAAAAATTAATGCTGAATATTGGCCATCACCTCCATGGACCTCACATTCCTCCCCCTTGCTCAGGCTTGGTGCTACGGATTCCACAAGGGCGTGGGGCTCAGCCTCCACCCACTGAGGCTTCTGCACTTCAAGAAGGTTCTACCATGTGGCCCCGAAAGGAAAGCATCCGACAGTACAGTCTCTTCCTCAGAACAGCAAGCAACCTATCCACTCCCGACGCCCCCAGACACTAGCTCTCCTCCTTAACACAAGTTCCCTTAGTACCTAGGGACCTGGGAAGCCATCAAACTGTCTGCCCATCCAGGCCCCTGCCCAGTCACCATGTGCACTGCAGGACTGGCCTTGGCTGTGAGGGCCTGCCTGGCACCCTCACTGGTCCCCTCAACGGGCCTGCCTTCAGGATAAGGAACAGGCCATCTTGTCCACATTCACCCATGGAATAAAATAAAATTCACCTTCTATTGCTCTGAAAGATACTGTTACCCCCTGTGACTAATGAATGTTTTAGCAGGGAGTCTGCTTGAGGATTCTCTCTCCTTCTCCCTCTGCACCCCGCCCCCATTCCACACTAAGTAAATAAATAAATGTTTAAAAAAAAACAAAAGGCAGCATTGTGCACCACCTCAGCTGGGCAGGAGGTGCTCACTGCTAATCCAGGCGCTGCGACACTCACCGAACGCGGAGCCCTCGCCCAGCTCCTTCCCGAACTTCAGCATGCAGTCGCCCAGCAAGCCTTCCGTCTGCGGGTAGCCGGTGGTTTTCACCTGTCCTCGAATCTTCGACACAGTGTTCAGCATTCCTAGCTTAGCTCTGTATGCTTAAAAACATTGTCATTTGTAATTCCTTAAAATGACAAGGCAGAGCCACAGGTCCGTCGCATTGAACAAGTGACGGCAAAAGAGAGGCCACCTGGCACACAACTTGAGGGAGGCCTGGAGCGAGGGACAGGGCCGGGTGTGACCGATCCATCCCGTCTCTCACAGGATTTCCTAGACTCTTTTACCCAGGGCGGGGGTGGGGGGGATGCTAAGCCCATCTCTGCACAGCGAGGATGGAACGCAGAGACGGTGCACGCTCCGTGGACTGCAAACACAGGACCTGGGCTACCCCAGCCCACGTGCAGGGTGCGATACTGAGAGGCCTGCCATTGCCCACACCCCGAGTCAGGTGCGGACACCTGGGCAGGCGCTCCTTCCCGGGGCCCAACGGATCACTAAGAACAGAACTGCTGAGGCAGATGTTTCAAACCACCATCCAGCCGTGAACACCCTCCCCATGCCCCAAGAATGCATTCCGTCTGATTGTATCCAGTGTCGTGATGAAGGGCTGCTCATTCCTCTTAGGAAGCAGAGCCAATGGGAGGAAACGGATGCCCCCGCCCCCACCCCCGAGGGAACATGAGTCTGTGTGTGGAAGGTCCCTTAGGGAAATGATGGGCGGCCACGCTCTTCTCTCCGACTCAGGCAAGGAGTGTTTACTGATCCCGGCCCTGTGGGACGGCCCATGCCAAGTACTGGGGCTCCAGAGAGACCCAGGCCGCATCGGCCCTAACGGAGCTCAGGGTCTAGGTACTACTAAGGCAGAATATACCAGATGTACTTTGCAGATAAAGTTGGGGATGATGTCGGAAAAATGAAACCATAGCGGTATTGCTAGATAAGGTTGGAAAGACGCCCCTAAAAAGGCAGAAATCGTATCAATAAAGTATGGAAGAGGGAATGCTTATGGTCTATAACCAACAGATAAAGAGCAGGCAGGCTTGACCTAAACAAAAATTAAAACAGGACAAATCAGGACATATCTATGGGAAAATGTGACTATGAACTGAATCCCAAGCTAAGGATTTGGGATTTTATTCTACAGGCCAGACAGTGAATCACATACTAGCTGGTGGTGTTTGAGATAACTTTAGGAAGTAATGGGATAGACTTTTATTTTCTTTGACTTTAATAATTCCATGTTTGTTTTCATGTATTCTAGACCAGTGCCTCTCAAACTGTAATGCGCATACAAATCACCCAAGGATCCTGTTAAGATGCAAAGGCTGATTCAGGCAGTTTGGGATGAGCCCAAGATTCTGCATTTCCCACAGTCTCTCAGGTAATGCTGGTCCTGCTTTAGACATTCCCCTGTGCCGGCCTTTCTGAATCTTGCCCACCTCAGCTTCAAAGCAGTTTTCCTCCTGGTCCCTGCACAGAAGCTTCACTCTCCTACAACCCACCATCCCCCCCCCCACACACACACACATACACACACTCGGTTCCTCCTTCCCACTGTCAGGGTAGAAACTGGGAGGCAGCAGGCATGTGACCGACAGCCATTAAACTGGAAATGACCAGAGGCCTCCGTCCAAGGGGACACTTCCATTGTTGGCCCACCCCATTCCTAACCCCTTCCAATGTCAGTTCTTTGAGGATGGGATCTTGGTCCAACTTCGCAGCATCCCAGGATCCAGGAAAACCCCTCGCCAAGAGTAAGCTCTTGCTGAGTATGTGCTGACTGATTTATCAGGAAAAGGAACTTACGTGGCTCATCTCAACCATTAAGGAGGCCAGGGAAGAGATGTTATTTATTATAGTTCTTAAAATTCTAATCATCTATACAATTCTAAAGACTTCTACACCCACCAACCTCCCTGGACATAATTTTTATAAAATTTATGTTTTTTAATTTTTACTGCCTAGATTCTTGGATGGTTGGGTCTGTGCTGATTCTACAGCCAAGGGAATCACAGTCACTATGTACAAATACTAAATTCCTAAAAAGGAAAGGCAGTTTTAGAGCTGCACAGAATTCAAGGCTTGGATGCTCTGCCCCTTGTCGGTTTCTGTCCTTCACAACCCAGGAAAAAGTCATCAAGGGGTATTGCTTCCCGACCTCGGAATTAAAATCCTACTGTGGAAGCAATTTCAAGTAAATATATCCTTTTGAGCAGGATGACAGAATTTTTTTTCTAAAAGAGGAGATTCCTCAGTAAGAAAACATATACAAAACGCTTAGTGGCTCTCTCTGAAGCATCTCCTAAAAAATGTCTGCTTAGCAGTGCCTTGCGGCTGAGAGCCCAAGCCTCCATCCAAATGACATCACTGTAGTTCACAGAACTGTCTTCTAGAATTCACCGAAACTACCTCCGGTCCCTGGAGGCTTGACTTTTAAAAAACGGAATTTTATTATGTGGATGCAAAAGACGTTGTTTCTAAATTATGTGAGCCATGTGTCAAGTAAACATAGATTAGTGATCTGTGACAGTGAAAGAACAAGAGACTATTTCAAGACATTTTTTAACTTTACCTGGATTTGGCTGAAGATATTCTGTGGCTTTCGAAATAATTTCTGCAACAGCTTTATTGGTAATGTCTATTTTCTTTAAAAGAAAAACACATAAAAATGTTGGTAAATGACACTGAATTCACAGAAAAAGAAAAGTAATATGCATTAATTTAATACACATTATTATGGTGATTTTAACCTAAATGAATTTCAGCATTTTGGGGGAGAAGCAATTAATTTCTCACTCTGATTTTGGGACAGCTCTTTCTCCCCATGATGATGGAGAACATTCATTTCTTTTCCTTTTTAACATTAAAGTGAGTATTCATATAATATTTAGAAAACTTGGACAAGTCGTTACGCTCCTCTAGATTACTAGATATACTTGAAGGTCTCTCAAGCCAACGCTAGGCATGTCTGAGCCAAACTTTCCTTATCTGCTGGGTCAACTTGATGTCTATACCACATAAGGATGCCCTAATAATGATTCACATTAGAAACTACCACAGTAAATCAACAATGAATCATTCTCACTAGCATATCACTAACATAAACACCCATGTGTTCTGTCTGCCACATTAAGACTGAATCTTTCCTTCCACAAAACCATTCCTAGACACTGGCTGCTGGTTAGCCAGATACCGAATGTGAGAGTAGACAATAAAGTTAAATATGCACATTGCAATAGCTTTATTTCATACCATCAATAACCTGAAAGAAAATATAAAGGAAAAGGAGATCTCATTCATAAGAGCAATTTAAAAATACGCAACAATAAGGAATAAATGTAATGAGAAACTTACAATATCCATTTCAAAAACCATTTCCTAAATGGGTAAGTTTAATTGTACAAAGATGTAAATCCTCCTCCCAAATTAACATGTAAAATTAATTCAAATCTCATCTCAATTTTAATTTTTTTTTTTGTTACAACTTGGCAAATAATAAAGTTAGGTTCATGCCTCACACGACATACTGGATTACAAATATAGACCTAAAAACAAATTGTAAAGGTACTAAATTATTCAGGAGCATATTTTGAAATATGGGTATGGGAAGACTCTTCTAAGCATGACCCAAAATCCAAATGTCATAAGTGAAAAGACCAAAATTCTGACCCTATAAAATTATAGACTGAACAGTGAAAAGACATGGTACATGAAGCTCGACAAAAGTGGCAAAATGAAAGAGAAAGAAAACTGTACAAGGGACACGTGCTTAGTATCCATAATACACGGAACTCCCATTTAAAAAACAAAAAAGGGCGCCTGGGTGGCTCAGTCGTTAAGCGTCTGCCTTCGGCTCAGGTCATGATCCCAGGGTCCTGGGATCGAGTCCCACATCGGGCTCCCTGCTCCATGGGAAGCCTGCTTCTCCCTCTCCTACTCCCCCTGCTTGTGTTCCAGCTCTCACTATGTCTCTCTCTGTCAAATAAATAAATAAAATCTTTAAAAAAAATAAAATAAAATAAAATAAAAATAAAAAACAAAAAAAATTTTAAAAAGTCAACCCGACTAGAAGGGACAAGAACATAAACTGGCAATCCACAAACGGGGAAAAAATACAAGTTCAAACACTTGACAAAATAGTCAGAAAAAATGTAAATTAAAAAGGAGATACTTTCCGCTCACCAGATTGACCCCCCAATTTTTTTTAATTGATTTGACCCAATATTAGGTATTATACAGATGTGGAGGAACGGGCCCTTTCACACACACAGTGCAAAACAGATACAACTTCTGGAGATCAAGGTAAAGGACCTACGAATGGGCCTATTAGTGCCACTCTCAAGACTTCCAGGAATTTATCATCTGGAAACACGCCAGCAATGTGCAAAGATGTAAAAGGATGTCAGACCATTTTATGTCGTATTAAAAATTGAAACCAACGTGAATGATAAGCGATAAGAGACTGACTGGACAAATCGTGAAACATCCAAATAAAGGAATACTCTTAAATCATCAGAGAGAAAATACAAGGAAGCTCCGTATGTACTGGGAAGATGCCCATAGCGCATTGTCAGGGAAAGAAAGAAAGTCGTAGAGTGATTTGTAATACAAGAAATTCATTTTCGTAATTGAAAAAACAACGATCTGGTCAGGGTCAGAAGCTTTCAACCAAGCTAGCTCAACCAGCCTGAAACTGTATGTGTTCCCCTTAGCTGAATGCCTAAACTCAGGGCCCCAGGGAGGTTTAAACGACAGTACGTATATGATGAAGCAATGAATCACACCCGTATTACTGATGCCCACGTGCAGCTGTGTGCGAGGCGTGTGTGGGTAAGTGCACCTGGCCTTGTAACAGGTTTTGCAAGGTTTGAACTCTCTTCATTGTGTTTGACTGTTTATGAAGATCGTTGAAATGTTTAAGAGAATAGGATCACCTACATGTTTATGTTTTACTAGAGTTTCAAGAAATTTAAGTACTTAGGAAAACTCTGCTTTAAATTTGATGTGACGCTGGAGCGAATTCCATACGTCGCATTTGTGATTCTAGACATTTGAAATGTTAAGGGAATCTGCTTAATTATGTAACTGGAGATAAATGTTTAAGGATTTGATCTGTTAAGCCTATGACTTAAGGGAACCTAAAATGAAGATTAACTGAAAATGATCATCGTTTTTATACCAAAATTACTAAATTTATAAATAAGATTCAGCAGTTCAGTTTAAGCTAAAGAAAAACTAGGTTTTAGACTTTAAACTTTCCTGAGTTTCATATTAATTGAGACACAGCTTAGAGTGTTCCTTTCCACGTATCCAACCTTTCTTAGACATGAAAAGCCACCAGGAAGCTAGGCATCATCTCTGAAGGGTGACAGTGAGATCTGTGGCAGGGGTACTTTCTACTTGAGATCCTTCTCTATCTTTTGGGGGGAAAAGCCAAGAGACAAATGGCCAAAACTCACAGCCTAGTGTGCACAGACTAGAGCAGCTTCCAGAACATCCCCAGCAATTGAAACTGGGAATCAACCCTTTACAAAATGAAGGAGATGCCCACCATGTTGTCAGATATGGGCAATCAAGATCAACGCTGAAAAAATAACCAATGTAGTTTAAAAACAAAACAAAAATATAAAACAAAGCCTCCCTTCTAGAAAACTGGGGATATTGTGGGCAGGGTTACAAAATGGTATGCAATGTCTGCTGCGAACCATCGGGACAAACAGGAGAAAGTACAGAGGTAAAAATTATTTTTTGTAAAGTCTATTTGGTATGAAGGCATCTTTGTCCATTGATTAAATCTGGAATTTCCTTCAAATGTCGGCACCCTACCCCTGCGATGCCCCAAAGCACATGCCACTGACTCTTCCAGGCCTCAGCCTGAGCTGGAGAACTGCTAGCAGCCTGGTTTCTGGTGGCTGTTCATAGTATTCTATTTTTTTATTATTATTTTTAAAAAGAATCCATACCTGTCACTATATCATCTTACTCCTTATGTAATTTATTTGCGCTTAACCTTCTCTCTTTCTTGGTCACACTTGGTAGAGGTGGCTTTTTGGGGGGAAAAAAAAAGTTCTTGTTTTTATTCATTGATTCTACCTTTTTGTTGTTATTGTTTCCTATTTTATTAATCCCTCATTTATCTATATTGATTCCTTCCTTCCATCCAAAGTGATTTAATTTGTTATTTTCCTAGCTTCTTGGCTTAAATGATTCATTCATTTTCTTCAAACATTTATTTTCTATTAAGTATACTTAAGATGTACCCATATACCACAGGTTCTGATATATAGAATTCTGTCTCTCATGACTAAATGATTTTATATTTTACTTTTCATTTCTTAAGTTAAGAATAATTTTTACACACTTTAAAATTTCCAAACATCCAGAATTGGGAAGGTATACCTTCCTTGTAATCCTTGTATTCTATGATTTTACACTGGGAATTTTTTTTTAAGTTTTTTCTGGAGCCTAGCATATGATTCTATTAATTGTTCTAAAGGGACTTAAAAAGAATACAGATTCTCAATTTGAGGAATGCAGATATCTGTATCTGCTTATAATCAAAGCTATTAATCATATTTTATACTAATTGTCTATGAGCCAATCTATTATTGTCAACTTAATCTGTTATTTTATGAGAGGTATGTGAAATCTCCTACTCTGGACTTTGTCGATTTTCCATGTATTTCTGACAACTTTTACCTTATGTATTTAGATGCCATGTTATATGGTGCATAATGGTTCATAACTATCACAATTTTCTGATAGACTGTATGACTGCATCTTTTTAAATAATTTTTTAAAAGATTTATTTTAGACAGAGAGTGCAAGTGGGGGCGGGGGGGGGCAGAGAGAGAAGGACAGAGAGGATCCTCAAGCAGACTCCCGACTAAGTGCAGAGCCAGATGAGTGCCCAATCCCAAGACCCTGAGGTCATGACCAGAGCCAAAATCAAGAGTCAGATGCTTTAACCGACTGAGCCACCCAGGTGCCCCCCTTTTTATAACTTTTTCCATTTACTGGGTTTTGGTGTGGGTTTTTTTTTTTTTCCATCAAATTTTACTTTGACATTACTACCAGTCCTCCACTTCCATATGGCTAGGAGTTGTCATGGAATATCTCCATTCCTTTGTCATTTCTGTGTCACGTTTTAGGTAGATCTGATACTATCTAATTAATCTCTTCCAGAAAGTCCTTAAAATTTCTGGTCACATATTAGATATTTCCATGCTTTTCACTGCTGTAAGATAACAAATAGATTTTATTTTTCTATTTCTTCTGTCATTCACTGGGGTTTTAGGAAGAAAAGGAAGTAAACAAGAGGGATCTCAGTCCATCAACTGAAACTAAAATTGCTGAAATGTGTTTTTCAATTTAACATTTAAGCTGAATCATTTTGTTAGTGAGAAAGTTACACATGATATCTTTATATACCAAGGGATTTTTAAAAGTAATTTCAGGTATGCCAATGATGTTAAAAATATTTCCATGCTTCTCAATTTTCAGAAATTAAGTTTTTTCAAAAGCAAAACAAAATGAGCTTTTCCTCTCAAAGCATTAACATTTCTAGAAACTTAATAGTGCTCGTCCAGAAAATAGGGAGCTCCCTGGAGGATAGTCTGGCCAGGGCCAGGGTATCCCGACGATAGGAACCCTCCAAGCCATAGCCAGGGATTGGACTTCCTTCCGCGCATCTGATGATAGCTCTGCAAGCTGCTCTATACTGTATCCTTGATGCTATATCTGAGGATAGATGCTTTGCTTGCTCTCTGCCCTCTCTCATCGGGGGAGTCTAGTTATTAAAACAAGGCTATGTTTAAAGGGCCCAAGACCAAGGGGAAGGCAACTGAGAAAGCTGGTAATTACTTGTGATCCCAGTTCTACCTCCGCCTAGACTACTCCACACAGCTGACCAGGAAACAGGTTAAGGGACAGAGATTGTACAATCTTCCTTAGGAGCATGTTACAATTATTTCTGTAACAAGCTCATCCTATTTTTCTAAATGCTTTCAGACACATTAATTTTTTTGCATAATTATCCCAGCATCCATGTGAGGCAAGCAGGGTGCACATTATCAAACTTGTGTCACCGATCAGAAAAGATGAAAGAGCTTATCCAAGTTCACAGGGCTGGTTCTAGTGACAGAACCCAGATAAACGTTATTTGTCACGCACTTCTGCAACACATGGGATCAGAGACAGAGTCTTCCACACAGTCAATCAATCTTTATGTATTTTAAGGGTCTCATCCCAGGAATACAATTTGAGTTTCCAGATACATCATCACAATTACTTTGGTCTTTTCCTTGCAAGAACTGTTTGCCAAGATCGACCATCTTTTGAGCATTCTGACTTTTGTCCACTAGAGGGAACCAACTAGCCATATTCCATCTCCACGTTAGAGGGTCTTTACATCCCAGATTCCCACTAATATCCTTTACGTTATCAGTACATCTCATATCACAACGAAAATCAAATTTGTGAAACAATTAACATTAACATGCTCTTACCCTCTCCATGTCAAGAAATTCGTCATCTAGTTTTGTTCCTTCGACGCCGCTTATTTTTTCACTGAATAGCTGCAGAAATAAACAGAGGTTAACTGCATTGTACAATCTGTTACCATAGTTTCTGACTCAAATTATTACAAACAAAAACAAAAACTCACGTTTAGCTTGTTGCTTTTTTTTTTTTTTACTAAGTCCTCTAAAGAAAATTGTTGGAACAAGTAACTGAATCAAGGACATGGGAATATGTATATTTCTCACTCACTCAACATATTAATTATGCACCTACTGTAGAAAGTACATGGTAGGTGCTCTAGTAGAAACACAGATAAATAAGATCCTTATCATCCAGGAACCTAGAGTTCAGCAGAAGAGTTAATACACGCACACTCAACTGAAATACAGGGGAGGAAAAATCCAAACAAAGTAGTGCTGGGTACAAATTATTGTAAACATACCAAGTAATAGGCATTTCAGTGATTCACAGGATTCTGGGAGCCCACAGTGCAGGAGAGGAAGGGGGGACATCAGGACCTGTTACCTACAAAGCTTGGCACTTGAGCTGCCCATTTAAGGATAAGGGACATTTCAACAGGCAGCACTGAATGAGCCTCGCAGCATGAAGCAGTGCGGAAAAATACAGAGACAGCAATGTGTAGGATGGGGTTTTTCCACCTTGCCACTCTGGTATTTAGACCAGATAATTCTCTGTTGTGGGAGGCTGTCCTGTGCATTGTAGGATGCTTAACATCATCTCTGCCTCTATCCACTCAATGCCAGCACATACCCACGCGGGGACAACCAGAAACGTCTCTGGATGGTAAAGAATCACTGGTAAAGGGCATCTGTGTTCAAGCCACAGCAGGAAATTTGGTTTGACTACAAGGAATAGTGATCAAGGGAGAATGGAGGAAAATAAATGCTGAACGTTAGAGAGGGCAGATCACACAAGTTCTCAAACGCCAAGCGAAAAGGTATGACTGAGAAGTCCCTAGATTGTTTGTCCAACACCGTGTAGTCAGAGAAACCTTTTAGCAAAGCAACTCTGACTCCAGTGTGGGCTGCATTAGAGAACAAGGAGGAAGGAAAGTTAAATTGCTTTCTTTAGAAAAGCACATCAAGGTTCTTTTATGTAAGTGTGACTTTCTGCTACTATTTACACTGTGAGTGCAAATACAGCATTACTCTTTAATAGGAGGAATGCAGGTGTAGACAATAGGTAACTTACATTCGAGGTGTGCAGAGGAATTACTTGGACAGAGTAGATAGGGGAAGAATACACAATGGCCTTGATTTTTTATCTCCCCTGTGGCTATGTCTTTGCAGCTCCTGGCCAGAGTTGGAGTCTACCTACCGCCCCCGCCCAACCCCGCCAGTGAATCCGGGCTGGACTTGACACTTGTTTTGAACTGCAGACAGAGAAGCACAGGCCTTAGCAGATCTCGCATGCTTTCAGTCATTCTTTCGAAACCCTGCTGCCACCAAGTGAACAGGCCTGGGCTAATTTGCTGGGTGGTGAGAGACAAGTGGCCCAAACACCTCCCTCAGGACAATGAGGCAATGCCCAGGAACAGAGCCCCTGGCTGACCTGCAGCCGACTGCAGGCACAGGAGAAAGCCATGGGAACAGGAGTTGAATAGATGGTGGGTGTTTAACACGAAACACTGGAGTGCTTTGTTACTCAACCAAAGCTAGCTGATACACTACACAATAGTTCTTGGTTTTCAGGCTCAGTATAGATGTCAGAGGGGATTCTCCTAATGCCCTGATACAAGGTATAACCTTCCAACAGAAACAATGAAGAATCTCAGGGCCACTCACCAAGCAGTGTTTACACAAAGTATCCATCAATTAGGTCCCCTCCCAAACACCTTTTTGTTCAGTTGTGAAACCATTTAAAATATTAGTTCTTAACTTTGGAGGTAATACTCTGAGACTCCAATGAAAGTTACACAACCACACCCCAGGAAAAAACACTCATTTGGTTGCATGGTAGATTGCAAAAATGGCCACAATGCCTTGTAGCTCCTCCCACTAAGAAGTGCAGTCTATTTCTCTCCCCAGTGACTAGCTTTTGTCAATAGAATAGAGAGTAAGCAACACTGCATGAGTATTGAGTTCAGGCCTTATAGGTATGTTATAGCGATAAAGTGGCTATGTAGATATTCCTGCTCCCCCTTTGAGCTCCACTGTAACCATCTCCACATGAGTAAACCTGAGCTAGCATGCTGCAGAATGAAAGCCCACTCAGAGCAGAGATAAGCCTTCCAAGTTGAGTCCTCTCAGAGCACCAAACCACTAGCTGACTTGGCAGTTGACCTCCGACAGATGAGTAAGCTCAGCCCCCGTTGAGATCAGCCAGACCAAAAGACTTCCCCAGTGAGCCTGGCCCAGATTACAAACCCATAAAATTGTGAATAGTTTTTGCTTTTGAGTCACTAAGTTTTGAGGTGGCCTATAATTTCAGAGGGTTACTGTAACCCCTCTGCAGAAGCCCATGCCTAGATCCCTGTTTTAAAATACCCATTTGAAAAGCTCCTTAGCACTGACAGGCAGACCAAAAACGTCCTTAATCAGAATCCATTCTTACTGGTTCAGGTTTTACCTGTTCTATTTTCAAAAAGCAGAATGTCTAATAGCAGGAGGAATGTTTCCACTTTTAAAAACAAAAAATAGATTAATATTCCTTTCTTGTTTGAAAAGAGACAATAATATAGGACGGTTTTCAACATGAATCACAGGTAAGAGTCATGATCATTCTTCTGCTTTTTCTGAATTCCCCCAGTGAGATTCAGTTGTTTTGAGAAAGTAAGTAATAAATATACATTTGGTATCAGCTCCTTAGACCATCTGATGATATTTGACACTTCATCACTCAAAGAATAAGGTTGAGCATCTACTATGTACAAAGCACCACAATTAGTATATGGACATAAAGACGAAAAAGACAAGCATGATCCCTAAGGGCTCTTGACCTCATTAAAGAGTTACAGAAACTGCAGTTCTATTCCTTGTAAGTGTTGGAAGCTAAATATAAATACTCAAGCTCCTACTTCTAGTGAAAATAACTAGATAAATTCAACTCTGATACACCCCCTCTGCTCTGAATGCATAGCAATGATAGATTAAACCTCCCAAAAAAAGGAACCATAAAGATAAGCAATGCTTTAAAAACAGAATCAACTTTTTTTGTGGACCAGAAAAGGAACAGAGAAACAACACGATGCACAGGGTTGAAGTCTCGGTTGTCCTGGTGTCTTGTCAGCCACAGGCTCTGGCGGCCAACAGTCTGGCTCCTGTTGGGTAAAAGGTATCTACAAGTTCCCCATGAGACAAGAGCCTGGAATCAGGCTCTGCTTAAATCCAGGGGATGGGAAGGAAAAGGAAGTCGGAAAAAACATCCATTTGCAAACCACTGCCTGAGGTTAGCACCCTCGCCAATCCACAGGCCCAGGGAGACTGGAGAGCAGAGAAGCAATCGGGTTACCCCCAGCTCTCTGGCTAGTTCAAGATATCACCAATACCACCAGACAGCAGAAACCACCCTTTGGCACTGGGGCCTTGGGAAGCCAGGTGGAAGAATTCACAACCACCAGAGAGAAGTGAGCAAAGATGGGGTAAGAGTAACAAAAAGACACCCCCCCCCCAATAAAAATTAAGCATAGAAATCTAAATTTTAGGGCACAAGACTAAATCTAACACCAAGTAAGAAAGCCAACAAAATCATAAATCACAACGTGAATTCACTTCTGGTGAATATCATTTTACGAAACAATATGACAGAAACCTTATATGTATGGTTATGATATTACCAACATGATAAATGAAGGAATAACGTCTACTAATAAAGAGCAAACAACTACACAAAAGGGAAATTTTTTTAATTGCTATTAAAAATTAGACATCTTGGAAATAAAATACACATAGTCATGAAAACAAAAAATTAATAAATGGGATAAACTCCAGACTGGGCACAATCAGAGAAAGAACCAGTAAACTAGAAAATATTACTAGGAAATGTATGGAAAGAGCAAAAAATTTTAAAGGAAAAAGACTTTTAAAAAAAATATATACAAAATACCAGTTAATCAGTTTGGAGGATAAGATCTATCTGATAGGCACTCCAGAAAAAAAAGGACACAATATAGGAGACTCAGTATTTTAAGAATTAATAGCTGTTTTTTTGTTTTTGTGGGGTTTTTTGGCTTTTGGTTGTTTTTTGCTGTTTGTTTTGTTTTGTTTTTTTGTACAACTGAAAGAGGGTATGAGTCCACAGTCTAGAAGTATACTCAAATGCTAAGCAAGGTAAATATTAATTCACATGTCAAGATTTCAAGAATAAACAATTCTAAAACTCCCACAGGGGAATAAAACAACAATTAGATTCACAGCAGATTTCTCTTCAGCAACAGCAGATTCCAGGAGGCAATGGAAGACCAGTTTGAAAGTGATAAAAAATGTGAAAATCTAGAATTTTTTGTCTCCCTGAACTGTTAAGAAGAAAACAAAATAAAGACATATTCATTCAGACCATCATAGTTTCTAATAAGAGGAATGTTAAAGTACTTCATCAAGGAAATAAAAATTGATCCAAGATGGAAGGTATGAACTGCAAGAAACAATAGTGAGAACAGAAATTGATACACTAGGGGGGTAAATGTAACTACTGATTAAAAACAAACAAGCAAAAACAAATATGTGAGTTCACAAAAGGCAACATTATAACCTTAAGCAATAATAAGATGGGAGGGGGAGGGTGTTCAGTGGATATTCTGAGCACTGTAAGGTTCCTCTATGTTCAGGAGGAGGTGGGAAATGGACATCACTAAACATTGTTAAAACAATAGGTAAGAATCTGTGTTATATAATTAATGGTAACTACTAAAAGCATAAAACAATAATATACATATAGTACTATGCATGTTATAACATATATGCATACCAGCACTTTGGTGTAAAATCACTGTTTTCCAATCCAAAAAAAAACAAAACAGAACAAGAATAAAAGATTGGCAAGTGGGGGGTGGGGCAGAGAACAAAGGGGATTACAAATGGAAACCACAACATAAGAC